CAATACTACTAAAATATACCTATGGTGTTAAATACTATAATTGGCTATATCTCAAAAACGTACTAGCTAACACCTCTAAGAGGTACTAAATAAAAATATTTAGAATCTCCAAAAACCTTATGCTAACTAAAATTTGGACCCTTATATCTAACCCCTATCTTACTCTAAAGTTGAACTATAATTCTAAATTTGAGCTAAAATTTATTAACACCATAAACACCATAGGCATATTGTATATTATTTGTTTTAATAATATCTCAAAAACTAATAAACTAATTTTATTTAAGAAATTTAGCAACCAACTCTCTCCAACGATCACTTGTATCAACCAGTACCCGAAAGCAAGTAGAAGACTCAAGACCAGAAATGAACAAATAACTTGTAGTTTTTTTAATACAAACTGTTGTCGACGAAGTTTTTAATGTGATATACTGAGAAGCAGGCATTTTAGATGGTTTGCAAAAAGGTCAAACTCTCTCTTCTCTTGGGTGGACTCTTTTTTGCATTCGGCATTCAAACCGAAGGAGTCTCTGGAAAAGTAAGTAAAAAGAAGACTCAAATTATATTGAGAACTGAAGGCTATAAAGAACTCTTGGAATAACTCTTCTTGGTTAGAAACTCGCAAAACTATATTTTTTCTCCTACCACTCTCTTTTTTCAAAATTTTTGCCAAAAAGTGGGGGATTTGGCTACCCTCTCCAAAAGATCGATATTGTTTATCACTTCTATTTTTAGAAAGTCTTGAGTTACGATATGACAGATAAAGAAAACAACAATTACGTGTAAGGAGGAAGTTTTGTTTGGATTAAATCGAAGTACGTAGAAGTCTCTGCTCGACGAATTTTGTCTATACAGGAATGAAGACCCTATGCGACGGACCCAAGAAAGTAGCTTCCAATGATGCTAGTAGACTATAGGGAAGAACCCCTATTTAATCTCGTATAGCGAAAAAGCAAGATTTGAGAAAGAACTACGATTTTGTAAGTCAGAAAGAGCGGTCTATTATAAACAGAGCTGACGATCACATGTCAAGACTTTAAAATCGACATTCTAGAATTCAAAATAGATTTAATCAAGAGTTGCAAGTTAGAGCAATATATTAGAGATATGCAATATTCTGAAGTCATATGCATATAATTTTTAGTCCTTAGTATAGGTTAAAGTGCATTTTAGTTTCTAGTTTTTTTTTTTTCTGTCAGATAGCTCTGTGTATAGATTTCTATGACCATGTAGATAGTTTTTTACCTAGTTAGCAGGTTTTTATATCTGTAGACAAGTTCTTCTAGATTTTAGGATAGTCTTTAAATTTCTTTATATTTTGGTTGTTTTCATATATGTTTTAGTTTTTTTTCTATTTTTTCTATTTTCTCTATTTTCATTTTACCCTTACCTCTTTTTTTCTTTTTTATTTCTCTACGAGAAAGTGTCATCAGATTGGCGATACTCTATTGTAGAGCAGTGATTCTGACAAGGTCAGTACTCTCATCTGTTGATATCCAAGGCTCACATGCTCAGTAAGTTGAGGATCCTGGAAGGAGGAAAATTGACACTTAGGTGAGTCACTCCTGGGTCATACTTTAGCGTAAAATCTTGACTTCGGCTATGATTCTATTGTGATAATAAGACAGATCGAGAGAATCTTTATTTGGACAGAAATATAATAATATAGTGATTTGCATATAGGTTTAGCTAACTGAGAATAATCTACTTCCGATTTATAAAATAAAGGTAGAATCGCTGAAGTAAAAAAAAAAATAAACTAATTTTATTAATCTTACTACTATTAGCTTTAAATAAGCTTTACAACTCCTGTTAAAATACTAAAAATAGTTTACTTAATAAAAAAAAAAGTTTTAGATAGAGACACTACACATTTGGGCCTAAAATAAAATTTATATATAAAAAAAATTTTTGTTTAGATAACTGAAGAATCATTTATTAATTAATTTATATAAATCTATAAGATCTTTTTAGGATATTCTATAGAATAGGTGGGCATTATAAGAAATAAGCTTTGCTAATGATTAGTAATCATTGATTGTTTAATAGCAGAGTTGCGGAATTTGCGGAGTTTGCTCACCTATTCTATAGAACATCCTAACTTGGATATTAAAATTTAGTTTTTAACTAATTTTAATAAGAGATAATTTATACATCGCATAGGCGATGTTGTCACCCTAATGATCAGGTGTAACGTAAAATCAAAACAACATTTTTTTTAATATGGTTAGGGTTAGAGATAGATAAGGTTAAAGTTGAGGCAAAAACCAGGCTTTATAGTAAAATTTTGCAAGGAATTTTTTTCATTAAAACCCGAAAGGTGGTTTCATATTCGATGTTTTGAGTTATGGGCGATTTTTGGCAAAATGTTCGTTTTGTTTTGAATTTCCCACCTGTGTAACGTTACACCTGATCTTGAGATTCGATTGGTTGATCATGTAAGAGCGACGTATAAGATGCGTCGCATGGGGCGATAAATAAATGTACTCTTTTAATAAATTACTATTATTAAATTCAGAAAAATCTACTTTACAAACTTTACATAATAGTTAAAATTAATTTACTTATTCAAATGTTTTATAAAATTATTAAATATAAAAATATAATTTTAAAATAGTACTCTCTACCCTTTATAATTACATTTTTAAAAAAGTCTATATATAACAACAAAAATGTGTAATTATATAAGGGGTTGACCGTAAAAGTTATCTGTTATCTGTTATGTATCTTTTACGTATTGATTTTATAACTGATATTATTAAAGATTAAAAATATATAACGATCATCACTACCGGGTATTTTTTTGTTAAAAGAAGTATACAACTTTACCTAATTAACTATAATTGCTAGCAAATAAGTTTAAATGCTAGATATTTTATCTTTTAAGATATGCACACTATGTAGCACGATCCATACAAAAAAAAAAAGTGATACACCTTTTAACAATATATATATATTAATTAATACCGGTACACAGTAAAACTTTAATTTACGTACGTATATAAATAAAAAATCCATCATATTAATTTGTATAAACACAGGATTAATTTTCTCGTGCAACACTTACTCCTAAAAATTTACGGTAACAAAAGTCTCTCGCTCCTTCAAAACAGAAAGTCTCTTGGCCAACCTGATATTAACTTAGTCCTTATTCGTGTTCTTTAAAAGAGCCCATTTCTTACGCAGAAGTCTAGCTCTGTGTAGCTGTCGTCTGAAACGTTAACTTCCGACATCCACCACACAAAAGTTAGTCCTGTTGAGGACTTCGTCATCTCTCGTTAAACCTTCCACCCTTTAGTCAAAAGTCATTTCTCAACATCCATAATACAAAATCGCCAAGATGATGTTATATAAGTTAGTCGTTCTTGGGGACGGTGGTGTTGGAAAGGTACCACATATTTTATTAAACTATGTTACGTCACTTGCCGTGTGGTGTGGGAGGTCTATTTTTCAACCATCTTAAGCTTTTTATCCTTTACTTAATCTTCAGACGGCCCTTACAATCCAGGTTAGTAAAGTAGAGCAGCGAATTTCAACATTTAGTCAACGTTTGAGCTTACCCGAAATTTCTTTTCATTTGCCTGAACATGTTAACGCGATATTTTGGTTTATTTATAGCTGTGCCTAAACCACTTTGTGGGTAAGTTCAATAAAAAGCTGAGTCCTTATACATTTATAAATTCTAACGTCGAATTATCATGTTTCGACACATTCTTTAATAGAGGTTTGTATTATCATTCGTCATGAATCTTATTATTTATTTATAAAAATTGATTGATGTCATTAATTTTAATTATTTTAATTATTTCGCTATTATTTGGATCATTATAATTATTAGACATATGATCCCACAATTGAAGATTCATATCGAAAACAAGTAGTTATTGATGACCACCCCTGCGTACTAGAAGTACTGGACACTGCCGGACAAGGTAATCCAACTTTTCAAATTAAATAATACATTGCTTGAAGAATCATATTAAAGAAATTATATAAATGATGGTTGTTTTAAATTATTATTGACATATATAAATAATGCAACATTTCGAGTTCTTATGATTCATAAACAAAAGCACATTATTCAGCATTCTTACATTAGATGATTTATTTCCTTTTTCATGAATTTAATAGAGGAATATACGGCGTTGCGTGATCAATGGATTCGGTAAAGTATCATAATAAAATTTTTATAATCTGTTTTACTATCTTTAATTGGTAAATAGTGATAGTGCAAATGTGTGTAAAGGCGTACTCAAGTTCGTTACACTAGAGTGTGATTTATCTATGCCAAATAATAATAACTCACATAAACATCGTTCCTAATTCAATCTATAAATCTAATACGATAATTTTTGGTGCAGAGATGGTGAAGGTTTTCTTCTAGTTTATTCCATATCTTCGCGATCCACATTCGAACGTGTAGAACGATTTCATGATCAAATCACGAGGGTAAAAGATACTGAACCAGTTCCACTTATGCTTGTTGGTAATAAGTGCGACAAAATTACTGAACGAGAGGTCTCACGAGAAGAAGGAATGAATATGGCAAGAAGACTCAAATGTGAGTTCATTGAAAGTTCCGCAAAGACATGCGTAAACGTAGAAAGGGCGTTTTACGGAGTGGTTAAAATGATAAGGCTAAACAGAGAGGGCGGAAAAGACAGCAGAAGGAATAAGAAGAAAGCAAAGTGCGCAATTTTATAATTTTATGTTTATGTGGATTTTTTTTTTTTTTAAGAAGGACGTGCGTTGTAGGTAAATAAGCCATAAGTGAATTTTAATAATCACAGGTTTATTATCCTTATTTTATTTCGTAAAATGTCATCTTAAAGGACTTTTTTACGATATTTTTTTTTTCGCACGTATTTATGTTTTTATCGGTATTGTTGGTTGGGAAAAAAATGAAACCCGCCTTTTCTTTATTACCATTCTCAAACATCTCATGCCAAAGAAGTTTCAACGTACCCTTTTGAATTTACTGTCATTTGTGGATTTATTTCTATGTGAATTAATATCATCTTATCCTGAACATTTCCTCTGTCGTTTCGTTTTCGCTTCGATTTTTATTCTAAAATAATTGGAGGGAAATTGGTTTGTAATTATTATGTTGCTTAAAAAAAAATATATATATATATATAAGATTTGTTCATACACTTTATACACACAAAATAATAGTGTATCTGAATGTGAGTAAATTATATATGTTGTATTATTTATTTAAATGTGATTTTATAGAAATATATAGTAGATACATCTTTTTATTTATACTTTATACTTTAAAATATAGTGATTGTATGTCATTTTTATGCATACTGTATTTTCGCGAAATAACGAGCATGTGCGCAGGGTTGTCAGTGGTAAACTAAATTACTGGTAAGTTACCATGAATTTTTAATTTAGGCCAAAATTCGAAATTACACCCCTGCGTGTTCTTTCGCGAAAATACGGTACTACTTTTCATAAAAGTTTTATTCTTTATATATTTGTGTGTGTGCCAAATTTAGAGATTTAGATAAAATCATAGAAATTAGATTTTGAGTGGCAAATCGCAGCCGAAGGGCATAAATTTCATAAGTAGCAAACCATTTGGATGTCGAACGTTTCCGATAATAAGTAAAAATAAGAAAAAAATACATCTCGCAATTTATTGTATAGAAAATTAATTTATTCTACAAGAAATTTTACTTTAAAAAAATTTTTCATTATAAGGCCATACAAAGTTAATTTTTTGGTTCTCATAACATAAAATTTGAAAAATGACCCGGCAACCCGGCTTTTAATTTT